AACAGGGCAGGCGGAGCAGGCAGTTATGGCTGCTCTCAGTCCCATCCCCAAGGGCTCTGCCTCTCAGTGTCCCAGCAACCTCTGCGAGTACCTCAGAGAGAAAGCTGCCCTCGAGTTCTGACCAATGCCAGACAGTCCCGCTTCTCCCGTTTGAGTCTGGGTCTCCAGAGACTCGCCTGGAACTGGAGCCCAGAGCCTGAGACTCCCTCCCGATTGAAAATGACAACTGCACCCTCAGCCGCTAGCCCGCTCCATACGCACCTCCGCACCTTTGTATTTTATTTCTGCACCGCACCTCCTCTGAGTCTCGGTATGCTTTTCTCTTTCCTTCTAGTTGTATAATTTCCCCTCAGCCAGCCTTCCTGTAGTTCTGGGTGCTGTCCGTTCTGTCTTTTAGTTGTATTTTTGAAGTGGTTGTGCGAGGCAGCAATCTCCAGTGTTTACCTATGCCTCCATCTTGGTTTTCCGGTTGTTTTTGACTTGAGCGTCCCGTGAATCTGAAAATTGGAAATGACTCCTTAGTGGCCTGAATGAGAAACTGCATTTCCAGAAGGTCCAAAGTGCCAGTCCACAATTCCTTTAGATACTAAGGACATGGCTTCCCTTAATCTACTGGGAGTCTTCCCACCAGTCATTGAGGCATCAGGGTAAAAAGAGAAGGTTTGCTAGGCAAGGTTATAACAATGGATTTTTTAGACTTTAATTCCAGCTCTCTTAGGACCCTTCTCTACTCTACGAGTCTCTGAGGCTAGATGGATTCTGAGTAATCCTAATTCTCACAAAGGTCTGTCACGGTTGACTGATCCATGAATTTGTCCATCAAATTACTTTTATACTTTTGTCAAAAATTAGTTGACCATATTTATGTAGGTCTATGTAGGTCTGGGTTCACTGTTTTATTTAATTGATCCACTGTCCCTTCTCCAATACCATACAGTCTTCATTACCATAGCCTTATGATGTCTTGAAAATTGAGTAGATGAATTCTTTTCACTTTTTTCTTCTTTTTAAACTTTATTTTAGCTATTCCAGTTCCTTTGCCATTTCATATATATTTTAGATTAATCCTGTCTGTATCTACAAAAAATATTTCTAAGATTTGATAGGAATTGTATTAAGCCTATATGTCGGTTTGGGAAGTATTGGCATATTTATACTTT